GAGATGTGCATGACAAAACCATACATGTTTTTGACGTGTGTTATTCCAGGCCCGCACAGTCCAAAAGCCGGAATTGATGTGTACTTACAACCTTTAATTGATGATTTGAAGAAGATGTGGATTGGAGAATGGACTTATGATATATCCCGTAAACAGAACTTCACATTACGAGCTGCCTTGATGTGGACCGTTAATGACTTTCCAGCATATGACATGTTGTCTGGTTGGGGTACGCATGGAAAAATGGGTTGTCCGCATTGCATGGGATACACGAAAGCATTTACGTTGGATAGACAAGTCATATGGTTCTGTCGAGATTCAAATGAACCGGAGATACAAAGAATATGACCCTTTCATAATGTCACATATTGTTAGGCAAGTTTATTATGTTCCTTATCCTTCATTTGTAATACGTAAAAGAGGATGGTGTGTTGTAATAAAAACAAAACCGCTAGGTCATATTGAAACTGGAGATCTAGTGGAAGATGTTGCCTACCAAGTTGATGACGTTGAACAGATTAATGATGTGGTTGCAGCTGAAGACATTACAACTTTGTCTGATACAACTGTTGAGGGACTTCAAGTTGATGCGTCTATATTGTTGGTTGATAATAATGTGGATGAAGACAATGATGAAGAGTTTGAATCCGAGGACAATATTACATCGGATGATGAACATGATATGGATAACGAGCATGAAGATTTAGATTAATTAATCACTTAATATAATATTAATGAATATCTATTGAACATGTATATATTGAATTTGTCAATGAATATATATTTATGTCAATGACTTTATTATCTTTGTTTATGAAAATATATAACTAGGTAAAATGCCACCGAAGAATAAGGATAACGGTAAGAAGTCTCAGCGTCCGAGGGTAGTAACATGTGAGTCTCCTCACTCAGCCATGTGCCCACCCCCTCAGAGTCAGGTTGATCCTATGTCCCTGGCCAGTACTCAGGGTTTTGTCCCATTACTCTCCTCCCATACATTCCCGTCTGGGGTACCTGCATCTTTTGTGCCACCTGGAGGCCCCGGTTTCCTTTTCCCACAGACTCAGATGCCGTCTTCCTTCCAGCATGCGGGAGGATCTAGTTTCCCTTTCCCACCGACCCAGATGTCGTCATCCTTCCAGCAGGCGGGAGGATCTAGTGTTCCTTTCCCACAGACTCAGATGCCATCTTCCTTCCAGCATGCGGGAGGATCTAGTTTCCCTTTCCCACCGACCCAGGTGCCTTCATCTTTCCAGCAGACTGGTGTCCCCTCATCATTCCAGCAGACGGGGGGAGGACCCAGTTTTCCATTTATACAGACTGGCGTGCCTTCATCATTCCAGTAGACGGGGGGACCCACACAGATGTCTTCATCCTTCCAGCAGGCGGGAGGGTCCAGCACCCCACACTCCACACACATTGGAGGACCCAGCAGTCCACGTCCGACACAGGCTGCAGGATCCCGCGCCCCACGTCCTAGACGGACCGGAGGGTCACGCACCCCTCATCCCACACAGGCTGCAGGATCCAGCACCCCACGTCCTACACGGGCTGACGGTGATGCAGATGTCGTAGCTGATGATATAGATGGAGCTGATATTCGTGAGAGAGATGATCCGAGTGAGATTCATGTCATTGACGGGAGGTTTTGGATTTGGCCCGAAGGAAGCAAGTAAGTTTCTTATATAAACTTTTATTTAAGTACATATTCATTTTAATATTTTGTATAAATTTATAATTAATATTGTTTATTCAAAATCTTGTTGTTTAGTTTCGCGCCGAGTCGGACGGCTGCCAAGGTTATTAATTATATAATCCAACAGATGTATAAATCCTCTTGGAAGAACTTTGGCGAGGTTACAAATAAAGAAGAATGGTTTAAAAAATTTAAGGTATTGTTATTTATTTAAGTTGTAAATTTAATATATTTTTTTAGTATTGTTATTTAAGTCACATTTTAATGATAATTACTTAACTTTTTATTTTAATGTCATACAACATTGCAGGAAAAATGTGTGTGGGATCCGTTGAATGAGAAAATTATGGAAAAAATCTATTATAGCAGAACTTCTAGAAGATTTTCTGATATAATGCGGCAGGTTAGGGAGAATTATGAGCTGCATGGTATCCGTCCTAACTGGATAGGCGTAGAGGTTTTTGGCGAACTTCGTACATATTGGGGTTCGCCAAAATTCAAGGCCAAATCCGAAAATTTTAAGAAGATGAGGGCATCCGAAAAGGGGGGATGTGTCAATACTGTTGGAAGTATTAGCACTGCAGAGCATGTCCGGCGGATGGTAAATATTACTAATTTTTTAAGTTATATATATTTTTATTCATAATATTTTTTACTAATTATTTTTAACTTTATTGTTTAGACTAAGGAGATAGGGAGACCACCATTGATCATTGAGTTGATTACGAGGACTCGGACAAAGAAATCGGGAGGTTTTGTCGACGACCGCACCAAGAAAGCTTTTGTAAGTAATTTAACTTATGTTTTTTTTTTAAGTTAATAACAAAAATAGTGACGTTATTTCCACGTGGCAATCTATAAGTTGTGGCGTGATTATCATGTGGCAACTGATAAATTGCCAGGTGACTGATTTTTATGTGGCAACTGATACATTGCCACTGGAAAATCACGTGGCAATTCATAAGTTGATTTGTGAAAATCACGTGACAAATTTTTAATATATTTGAATTTAGTATAATTTAATATATAAATGTTTTAATTTAGCATATAATGGCAGAACCAACACTACTGATTGTATATTAGCCAGTTGTAAATGTTGATTTTGTCTTTTCCAAAACCATAAACTTTTGATTCATTTGTGGAACTTTATCGCTCACAACTTAAGCACCATCACTTATTTTCTCACTAAGCCCAAGATTTTGGTCAAAAGATGCAATTGTTGCCAAGCCCGTCGATGATAACAGGAGCTTCTCATCAAAAGTCTTTGTTTAGTTGACAACGTTTTTCCCTGAAGACAAAACATTTGGCTACCATGCTTGAGATTACATCCTCTATCTTTCTCAAGGCAGATTCAGCATCACCAGGAGTTTTAATTTCATTTACCTGCAACAAGTGAGCAAAATAAACAAATCTGTGTTATGGATTGGTTCCACCTCGACAAAAACACTCAACATTGGGTCTCTCGCAAATAACAACATTTGAATTTGAAGCCATTTCTTCAGTAATAAAGATACAGTCTCATAAGTATTGGTGTAAGGTGATGAAATTGAGGAAGAAGAGAGAAAATGATGAATGATAAAAAAAAAGCTGCTACAAATGATTGGTAAGGAATTGAACTAATTATAATGAAACCTACTATACCTATTTATACACAAAGATAACAAAGATAAGAATGTCACATAAGTCATAAGAGAGAATATTTCAAATATAGCAAATACTAAATTACCCCTTTAATATCATCCCTTAATTTAATATCTATCAGAAACTAGCAACACCAATTTCATTCCTTAAATGAAGAAATTGGTCTGTTTTGATTGTCTTCGTCAGAACATCTGCCAGCTGTTTCTGGGTGCTACAGTGCAGAACTTCTAATCAGAAAGAGTTGCATTGATGATAGAATTAAAAAAAAATCAAAATAAAGGCCTATGGGAACCACTGATCATCAAACATCTCACAATCCTCTTGATGCAGAGCATCACTGGGAGGTTATTGTGTGCAGGTTATTGTTTGTTTGTTTACCTCAAAACATTGAGTTGTTTGTTTGTTTTGTGTGCAGGTTATTGTGATTACACCCTTTGTTTGTAATCTGGAACTCACCCGTATACAACCGTTACTCTGCTCAATTTTTGTGAAGACTTAATACACTTGAAGTTTGGTTCTCTCAAGAGGTCTAGTATTTTTGTTTGTTTGGTTTCAATCCAAAGAATGAGATTCATAGTGTCAAGTATTGGCTTTTTGTTGGTTAGATGGTTCTTATCCCTAACTTTTACCTTATGCTTTAGGACAGCCCCTTCTTCTCCTCCTATCTTTTTTAATTTCAAAAATCTTCTCCCTCCTTTTGAAAACCGTTCTTGTTTTAAACTTAACCACTTTTATAATAAACTTGGACTTAGGTCCATGCATTTTCAAACATTTTCATAAATAAAATCCAATAAACTTAATAATACTTTGACATCCTTTTGCGAGAAGACTAAAAGTCAATCAATCTCATTTCAAACCATTTTTTCCACTTTTGTTTTTTTCTTTAAACTTTTCTCAAAAGATTGAACTCTTGTCAATCCTTGTAGTGATGCAGACAACTATACTTCTACAATATGTAGTGAAGAGATATATTTTCCACTTGGGTGTTGAGTGAGACATTGCTGATTTTAAAATCCAAGTCATATCCTCCACTTTGAGATGATGCAAATTCTCCTTTCTCGTGATTGTGTGTAGTAGGTATGTTTTCCACATGGACAATGATGATGATGTTTTATCTCATAAAATTAACCAACATATTTGTGTAAAATTTTTTTAAAGAGGAACTACGTGTACCCTGATCCCCTATTGCACGAAAAGGTGGTACGTAGGCACTAAATGTTCGCAACCGCGGCAGGTGCAAAAATCATAAAAAAATATATTTCTTTATTTTTTATAGCCAAAATATACAGATTTTACAAACAGGTTCCTGCAAAGTACCGTAGATGTTTAGGGTGCTAATACATTCCATTTGCATAACCAAACCCCTTACATTGAGAAACTATGATATTCACTTGAGGCATTCTAATCTCAATCTTCCTTGAGAAGAGTGAAACTCTAGTTGTAGATCCATTGCTCAAGAGGAGAATTTGTCTGATCAATTCTTGAGCAACCTTGAGTAATTGAAAACCCTAGAAGTATGAGAAGGTATCTTGAAGAAAATGGAAGGACAAATTTTTGGGTACAACAGATGACAACAAAAAAATTGAGACCTATAAGTAACTATAAAATATACATGGCGAAATCAAATGTGATGGAATCATATTGCTCAATAAACTCCTTAGAGCTAAACTGATTGTTTTCTTGTGTCTACGCATAGAGGTTGTTTCTTATTAAATATTTCAAAAGTTGATTTGATTGCATTCTCATTGATAAATGATTCGTCGAATCTTTTCAACAACGGGTCAAATTTCGGGGATGCCCTTGCATTTGCAAGGACAAGATAAGTTCTGATTCTCTGTTAAACAACAACAACATTAGGCAGCTTATTTAGTAAATATGATGTGTAACTTATAGAGTTTATAGTTATTATCACCTTAAAGTCTTCAAACCCAGAATTTAGAGCTTCTTCAAGTGAGTACTGTAACACCCCTTCTAAATACCCCAATTAAAGGTAAAGATTAAAATCAGAGAAATAAAATTGCACGGAAGGGATGCCACAACACACATCACATTCCAAAGTTTTTAAAGAAAAACGGACAGGGTATGTTTGAAAGTATAAGCATTCCAACACAAAACAAACATACAATAAATATTTACTTCATTCTCTCGTGCAAACGCAACGGAGTTTCATAATTTCACATCATCTCCACTTATGGAGGAATCAAAACATAATTCAAGGCATCAAGCCATCATAATTCACATAAGCATATGTTATCAAGTCTCACATATACAAAACATCATATACACGAATAAGGATTATATACATCATAATCCAAATACAAAATAATCGAGTTCGACACTAAATAAATTCCCCCCCCCCCCCCATGTGTTACTACCAGAGCATCGACTCGACTCTAATCAAAATAAAACAGATTGCAATCCAATGCATCCGTTAACTAGCGCCTCGCGCCACCGTCCTCGGTACCTGAACAATGCCATCAAAAGCATTTTCCAACAGAAGGGTAAGAATTCCAATAATCATATAACATGTAATTTTGAGTAAATGAAATGGTAATACATAATAATCATGTTCATTTTATCACCTATAGTATCCTTACTCAAGGAATCCATTTCCAACGCATTTACCATGTAAACCGATTATCCGAATACTCACATCCTTGGCACATAACCATAATTCAAACAACAACAACAACAACACTGGCACATAATCAAACACATCAACACCCATACATAACATGCACAATTATGCATGTGACTCACAACACGACTCAACGTATGCGAATGCGGTACCGACTCGTGGACCCAAGGTTCCACCACCTATGTTTCCCTTCCGGATCAAGGTCACTACGTCTTTTCCCACAATAGGGTCACCGTCTAGATATTGTGGACCCAATGTTCCACCACCTATGTTTCCCTTCCGGATCAAGGTCACTACGTCTATTCCCACACTAGGGTCACCGTCTATAAAATCATGTGAACCCACAGTCTCACCGTCTCTGTTTCAAGACCAACCATGCCATGCAATGTACAATATAACCAATGTATGCAATTAAGATTCACAATAATCTTAACATACACATACCATCAAATCCAACCAATGGAACATCAACTATTGTACATGCATGCATACATATAATTTAACAATCACAACGTCAAGTAAAATGTATACAAACAAGTTATTTACTCAACCAAAACATAAACCATCAACTATCAAACAATTCCAAATCGGAAAGTATATTTCAACATAAAGTCATCATCAAAATGAACCGGCATTACTCTCAATGTTACTCACCGCGATCGAGTCACCGGAATGTAACTCGAACGGTTAAATTCGGGATTAAACTCAATTTATTTCATTTCGTACTAAAATCGGGTCGATTCTTAAAAAGTCGAAATTTCGCAAAACGAACTTCACTACGTTAATCTACACGTCGAATTATGCTAGCACGTCAATTTTCGTTAAATTCGGAGCAACTTGCTCCATCACCAAAATTGCCGAAATCGAGAAATCGGAACATAATCGGGTTCCAAATTAAATCGGCTAACTTATGTCATAATTGTATTTAATTAATATAATTATTTAATATATTAAAATTATGAAACTAAAATAAATAAAAACTATTTTTTTTTGAAAAAAACCTGAACCTGCTAAACGCTGACACAGAGAAACAGCGTACATGAGAATTTCACTCCACACTATTGTGCACTAATGGGACGTACGTCCCTAATTGAAAATGGAGAAGGGGAGGCACTTTGTTCTTGCAAAATGTTTCTAGAAAATTTCATCCTGCATAATTATTTTATACTTTCCACTGCATAATCTCATTTTTTTATTTCTAAATTTCCATTGCCACTTTCCAAAATAAAAAGAAACTTCATACTTATTTTATAACTTCAAATTAACATAAACCTGCATAATCATGTTTTTCCAACATACTGACACTTCTTATTTTCCAAATTTAATATTTTCAGTTTTCCTTTTCTAATTCTTCTTAACTAATTTAATAACAATCCAACAATAACAATAACACCTAAATCAACTCCTCTAACCTCTATCAAAATCACCCAACACAACTCATAAACCCAAAAATCAATTTTTATCCCAAATCAAAAATATACCAATCAAACCCTAACTATAGGAATTGGAAAATCAAACCCCTTACCTTGGTGTGGGTTTTCTTGAAACAAGATGATGATGATGTTGCAACTTCAAAACTAGCTTCCTTTCTTCTCTTCTCCTCTTTCTCTCTTCTTTTCTTTCTTCTTTCTATTTCTCCTCTTACCAACTATCCTACTTTCTATCTTATAAAACAAATTTTACTACTATTTACTTTCCTCCCCCCAACTTTCTAAAATTCTAATTTGGCCCAATCTATTTAATTCAAATTATATCATATAATTCTATTAAAACCATATTACATTTAATTAATATTTATTCCATAAAAACTAAATTATACCGATAAATCAAACGAAGCCAAATACACACCAAAATAATATTACTCAAAATAGTATTTTATCATTATGAATATTTTTATTTCAAATAACCGAATTAACATTTTAATTGATATCAAATAAACATATTTCTTAAAATAGATTTAATTTGATAATCTCGGGAAAAAAAAATAACTTAAATAACATTTAATCAAAAACGGGGTGTTACAAGTACGGCTCGAATCTGTTTGAAAAATTGATTACTTCATTAATATATTGATTAGGTTAAATACATAGAATGTCGGGAGGACCCTTTTTAAAAATCAATAATAGATTAACCGGACAGTGCTGAATAATCTTAGTATGTACTCTGAATTTCTATAATACTTTTCTTAGTTTCTGTAATCAATATTAATGAAGTATATTGACGCTTGCAAGGACTCATTATCGTTCGTCTTCCCTACATGGTGGGTGATGGCAGGGCTAGGCTAGGCTAGCACCCTAATATGAACAAAAAAACAGAGATGGTTCAGAGGCTAGGCTCACCAGTGGCCCACCACCAAAATGTATGAACCCCACCACCAAACACCAAAAAGAGGCGGTTCAAGGGGCCAGGCTCGCCAGGTGTTGTGGGCTAGAGGTGCAGCGGCCCGTGATCCCTCCACTGTCAGGAGTAGAAAGTGATCGCTGCTCTATGAACCCCACCACCAAACACCCCAGACCAAACACCAAAAAGAGACGGTTCAACCCCACCACCAAAAAGAGAGTAGGAAGTGATCGCTGCTCTGTGAACCCCACCACCAAACACCAAAAATAGACGGTTCAACCCCACCACCAAAAAGAGAGTAGGAAGTGATCGCTGCTCTGTGAACCCCACCACCAAACACCAAAAATAGACGGTTCAACCCCACCACCAAACACCAAAAATAGACGGTTCATTAGGGTTTAGCCATGTTCCATCCACTTCCTTAATGCCCCCACTTGGGTCATAAGCTGGCGCTACTCAGCTCATCAAACTAACTAGTATGTAAGACATTTATAAACACTTACTTGTGTGATGTTCTAGCCAATGTGGGACTTAAATGGATCCAAAATAAGTATTAAGTTGGAACATGCTTTCTTAAATATTATAGCACTCAAAAATTGTGGTTGATTATTGGACCGAATTAATTACATACAACATATATAGAAGGATTAAATCTATTCAAAAAGTGATACACAGACTAGATAAACTCAGCAAAATGATTCAAAACTAATGAAGAAGTAGTGAAATGCAATGCATACCTAGTTTAGCTTAGAGTATCAACAAGCAACATTATAACTTGTGAATTCTGCTTATTCAAGTTCCGACTTTGTTCTCAAAACAGAATCAAATTTCTCTAATGCTTCCTCATACTTAGCATTCCATCAGCATTTAATCCAGGAACATTAAGATTAAAATGCCATTAATCCTTTAGTCCTAATCCAGATTACAATTTCATATAGAAAATGTTTTGTTTCTGACATGTCTATCTTATCTTTACAGGAAAAAAGTCACTAATCCTATATTCCTTATTTTAATAAGCAATTGAGCAATAAAGGAAAATATTAACTAAATCCAGCTCAAAGTTATGATTTTTGTATGTGTATGCATGTTTATATTTTGCAAACCAAATTTCATAAAATGCCAAATAAATACATGTGAAATAATAATTCTAGAGAAGAAATTGCACTTAGTCTCTATTACAGTTTGGAACAAAGAACAAAAACAAAATGATTTTTTTTAGTTGGGGAGTCTTACTTGTATAGTATGAAGCCTTCTCTCAAATCGTGTTCTCGATGCTCTGCCAATTCTTTTTTCCTTAAGACAGTTTTGCATCTGAAATTTTCATCATATGTTAAACATTTTGATTAGGTCCAAAAATATGATGTACATTGTTCTTCCGTATTCACCATTTGTTTGCATTCGCAAGGTCAGGATCAGTTCTGCTTCTCTGTTAAACAACAACAGCATTAGGCAACTTATTTAGCAAATATGATGTAACTTGTAGAGCTTACTAGTTATCACCTTAAAGTCTTAAAAACCAGAATTTAGAGCTTCTTCAACTGTAGAAAGTGCAGCTTGAATTTGTTTGAAAAATTGATTACTTTATTATATATTGATCAGGTTTTAATACATATAATGTAAGGAGAACCATTTCTAAAAAACAATGACAGATTAAATAACATATTAACAGGCAGTGTTTAATCAATTAACCGGGGGCACCCCTAATATGAACAAAAAAAGTGATGAAACTTTTTTGATTTAAGAATTACAAATTATGTAGTTTAAATAATGACAAAACTTACTTGAATTTTCTTGAGTTTGTTACTGACTACACCAGAGTTCCTCTCAGCTCTGATGATCTCCTTATCAATGAACTCACCACCAGTTTCTATCTTTCCTGAGAAGAAATGGAAACCAAGGTTCACGGATCCATGAGCTAAGTTTAGAAGCAGGGAAACATTGCGAAAATACATACAAAATAAACTAACGATATCTTTTCTGCATTCTCATTAGTAACAGGCCTATTCTTTGGCGCATCGTGTACATTGTTGTACCATATTCCACATTTGGCCGAATTTCGGTCCCAAAAACAGCGCTGCAGACATTGAAAATTTTGATTCAGTCATATCTCAAACACTATATGCCTCTATTAAATGCACATAGGACAATTTCTTTATCACTAAATTAGTCCTCTAATTACCTGTTTTGAGCATAATATGATATCACTAATCTCCAAAGTATGTGATTCTTGTCAAGAATATTAATTCAATAACAAAATCCAGAATCATAAGCTCAACCTTGACTGAATAAGGACATATTTGGATAAACAACTTAAGTGCTTATGTATAAGCTATTCTCTATAACAGAAAATAAACTAAAATCAAACAGTCTGACAAGTATTTATTGAAGTAGATAAGCATAAATAAAACAATCCAAACAAACCCTAAGCATTCAGTTCAAATAACTATGTTGAAGATAATATGCTAGTTAGTAAGTACTACTGATGAGAAAGCTATAGCAACCAACAACGTATCTACTACTTGTCTGAAAATAAAATGAATAGAAGAAACCTTGTCACCTGATCCACATAAAGAAATGGTTTTGTTTTTGACAAAATGGGTATGTGAGAAATGAGTGTTTGAGAAAGCATATGAAAAAGGGTTTGTTGAAGAAAACTATTTGGCGGTGGAAAGAAAATAAGAGCGAATGAGAGCTCTATCAATTTCCTACTCCCTTTACACGCGAATTTTTTATATTTTCATAATTTTATAATTCATTATATCATTTACTTATAGTTTATGTAATAGTTGACACTTTCGTACACATTAAAAAAAATGGAATTATACTTATTTGTTATTCGTGTATTTTTATTATCATTAATACAATGTGAATTAGAAAAAATAATTGAAAGATAAATTTTAAAATTGCATGGAAACTAAAAATGACATTTATTTTAGGATAAATAATTTTTGCAAATACGATATTTATTTTGAGATCGAAAGAGTAATTATTTTATGATTTCTATTATCTTACTAAAGTGTGATAATTGATTAATTTTTTATTCAATAATTATTTAGGCATACTAACGATTATCCCCATACTCGTGGCTCCCTATAAGTGTAGTGGTAGCTGTGACTGAGAGATTGGGAGGTTAGTAACATATGTTTCTTTAGGTTAAAATTGGATTTCCATTCGGTTAATAGCATTGACATGTTTCTTATAGTATATGATCCTCCTCATCTCTTTCTTTGTAAGAATGGAATCTCAACATAAAATAGTCTTAGTTGGTATAATACATGTCGGGCAATTGCACAAAGTTTTATTGCTTCATCATGAATTGTTTGACACCGTTCATATTCAATTCTCCTCCTAGAGTATACATGATTAGAGATGTGTCCCTGAAATTTATCTCATTTACGATATCTGCTTCCTCAATTACGACTTCAACAATCACATTCACTATTTTTGGTACTATAAACTTGATTGTCATGCCGTTGCTTGGATTCCGATTACCACTGATCATATTCACCCAAAGATTCCTTGACTCCTTCGTTGGTGAATTTAAGGTTTCAGTTTCATTAGCCTCTTTCTGTTGTATCAACTCCTCAATTGAATCATCTGTTCCTTTTTCAATAACTTTCGACTTTTCTACCTGTGCTGAATCGTTTGTCTTTTGAATCGCTTCCTCCTTACTGTTGAATGTCACCGGCATTGACCTTATCCTTTTCAGTGGTCGTCCTCGCTTCTCCTTTCGGTGGTTGTCCTCGTTGTCTCTAAATTTAAAGATAAAATTAATATTAAACGTGTCTTTGTATATTTTTAAGAAACTTTATTTTATTAATTTTATAATTTTTAAAATAAATTTAAGATAATATGAATTTAAGGGAGAAAGTAATAGAAGAAGTTATAAAAATTTAATGACTATTTAATATATAATTTTATTAATAGTCAATTTAATGACTATTTAAGTGAGAAACAAATGGAAGAATTTATAAAAAATGATTTATATTTGAAAAACGTTAATGGTAAATGAATTATTACAACTAATTTATAGTCATGTAAGATTAAAATTTTAGAAAATCAATAGTTTTATAGACTGTCAATTCAATAATCATTTAAGGGAGAAATTAATGAAAGAATTCATAAAAATAATTTACAATTAAAATATATTAATATTAAAGTAATTATTAAAATTAATTTATAGTTATATTAGTATTATTAACTTTTTTTATAATTTATAGTTATAGTTATATAAAAAATGTAATTAAATATTCTTAAAAAAACAATATAAAACATATCAAATTTAAAATACTATAAAATAATAAATATTTTAACATAAATGAAAAAAAAATTGTTTTATAATAAAGCATAATAGTGATCCTTCCACTGTCAGAAATAAGAAGTGATTGTTGTTCTGTGAAATTAATCTCATGTTGTACAATAGACCAAATAAGAATATTTATATGGGTTAACACTCTAATTCAAACCGGTTTAAAATTTAAAATAATCATAATAAGAGTAGAGATTAGAAATTATATATATGAGAATCCTTTGTAAAAATATATATATCTTGAACTCAATGAAACAAACATGATAATTATATATTATCTTATTGAGTTTTATGCTAGACTTCGCACATAATTGTCCAATATACTTTTGAGGAACTAAATAAAACTTAGTTCAAAAATTTGAACTTAAGCTATGAACATTAAATAAGTTCTTAACGGATGACACATACTCCCTCTATGCTAAAATATAAGGAAAAAAAATTACATTTATTAAAAAAATAAAAATGTAATAATTTGCCTAAATTTTTGTTGAAGTAAATTGTTTAAAAAAATTTAAAAATAATTTAAATTAATTATTAATTATAGAAAAGATGAACGAAAATAAAAAAAAATGTAGTTTATATTTAATTTTGAAAAAGATGGAAAAAAAATTCTAGAAGTAAATAAAAAAATATTAATAAAAAGAGCATGACACGCAATGAAATATTTGTCCATGATTTACGTTGGTATCTGTCTCCCTTCATTTTGTTGTCCCTCCCTCGTACGCTTTTTTCTTTCTTGTTTCATTCCTTCCTCCACCGATCTTTTCCATTCCAATCAAACCCTTCTCTTCGATGGCGTCGTAGCTCATCAATCACCTCTTCAAAATGCACGCTTTCAAGGATAGAGTCACGCAAAAGCTTTCGCATCTCTTTGCCAGTAATTCCCCTGCCTCCTATTCCCCTCAGGTAACGTTTTCTATTTCAATTTCAATTTCAATTATATCTTTTCTTTGCTTTTATGATCTTCCTTTTTTTTAGTTCTTTTTGTTATTTCCAATAATTTGATATTAAAAAATAGTTTGTTAGGCACTGTTCATGTTAGATCTGTGATTCGTGCATAAATATCTGAATCTGAGGTTTTCACACAAGGTCTGAGTTGTTTAATCAAATGCACCAAACGAAATTAGACATTTATAAATGAAAAAAAATGTGTTATTTCATTGACAAATGGCGGGATTTATCAGACCTAGCTGCTACGAAGCACGGATACCGAAAACACGATACTGTTGTTGACACGGATACACCTTTTTCCAGAGGTGTCTGGTGCTACATAGCTTGCTGGCTTCAAGTGATGGAAAATATTTCACTTCATCAATGTCTCATGCTTTTAGTTTTTGTGCCATTACACCTCTGTCAAATGGAGAATGGAAACAAAACAATGTGATTAATATTTTCTTAGTGAGTAATAATCACTTTATTTTTCTATTTATGTGTGCAGGCTAGTCCCTATCCTAAAGAGGGTAAACCAGTGTCTTCGTATTTATCTTACATTATACCATCAGTCTACTTTGATGGATCAAACTCAAGCAAGAATCAACATGATCATAAAGCAACTCATTCATCTCCTTCTAGATATAATTATGAGAATTTCGAGTATCAAGATGTTCCGTCAGATAAATATGTCGATTGTGATCCCACATATAACAGCCCAGATTTAACGAAAGATGAAATTACCAATGAAGACCGGACCTCTACAAGGAATAGTAGTAGTTGTAGTTCCGAGGTTTTTGAAGAAGCAAATGGGCAAACTCCAAATCGTTCAAAGAAGTCTACACTCAATCTTTCAGACGACTCTACTTTTATATCTCCAGAGTTGCATGAATTTTTCGAATCATGCCTCCCTAATATTGTAAAAGGACGTCAATGGGTCTTACTTTATAGGTAATTTTGCTCTCTAGTTATTTTAGTTGGTGCCCCAAAGAGTATTACATTGTTGTATTTAAATATTGATTCAACAATTTTTTCTTTAAATTAAGGGCAGTACGTTGAAACATGGAATATCGCTTCGTACACTTATTCGCAAAAGTGCTGAACTTCCTGGACCTGGTTTGCTGGTATGTCCATCTTAATGAGCTAAAATGCGTTTCCCCTGCCTGGAACAATTTTTTGCCAAACTTTACTTAATCTCCCGGCCGATCTCTGGATTGATTACATATGATATTTTCTGATTGTATATCAATGTATTGTTCTTTCGTTGAGAATGGATTTATTATCTTTTTTTTTTTTTTTTTGTAAAACTGATAGATTGTTGGAGATAAGCAAGGTGCCGTGTTTGGCGGTCTGCTTGATTGCCCTTTGAAACCTTCAGCAAAGAGGAAATATCAAGTATGCTACTTCCTTTTATCATGAATAATGATTCTTTAAGAAGCCACTTCTTCATCCTGAAGTATGATTTTGTTTTTTCTACTTTGATTGTAGGGGACAAACCAAACTTTTGTCTTTACAACTATATACGGTGAGCCAAGGCTGTTTCGACCTACCGGTAAGGGGTTCTTGTGGCATTAATGCATAATTTTTTGTAGGAAAATGTTTGACCTAAGGATCATTTGGATTTTGAAGTTCATTGAACTTGTGTTATTTTGATTTTGTAAATTTATGTGCAGGTGCGAACCGGTACTACTACATGTGTATGAACGACTTACTTGGACTTGGCGGTGGGGGTAATTTTGCTTTATGTTTAGATGGAGATTTGTAAGTACTTCTCTAATCTAATTGATTAGTTTCTTTCGAAACATTCAACTCATAGCAGAAAGAACACTTCTAGGATCTTTTCTTGATTCTATCGTCCTTGTTGAATAGGTTAAATGGAACTAGTGGACCTTGTGATACATTTGGAAACCAATGTCTAGCTCATAGTCCAGAGTTTGAGTTGAAGAATATTGAGGTAATTTTCTTACCTCCGCCGACATTTGTTTTGTAGATTACAACAAGTCCGTAAGAGCTTTCACCCCCTACAAGTAAGAGTGTTTGAGAGAACTTATGAAAACAACTTATGACATGTTTTTAAGCTGTTTCAACTTATTTCCTTCTTACGGCTTATATGAAAACAATTTAACTTTATTGAGTTACAGAAATAGCTAATGCTATAAGCACTTATTTAAGTTGTTTTTCCTTTTCTTACATTTATTGACTTGATTATGATATAATACAATGATTTATGACTTACTCTCCAAATTTCTTTGATGTGCAGTTGTGGGGATTTACACATGCGATGCAAGGATAAGATATCTTTATTTCAGTGTCTAATAGAAGCTCTCTCCTGTTTTTTATTCCACTCTTCAAATGTAGTTTATAGCTTCGAGAGGGTGACCGTTTACACCTTCATGGTCGATTCATTCGATATAGTGTCAAACATGTCCCATGTTCTTTCGGTAGATTGTATGTTTAAAATTCAATTATTCCCAACTTTGGATTTGTGGAAGTTAGATATATGGTTGGAACACATAGTTGCGGGGTAAAGAATATGTAAGGTGAGTGTAAAGCAGTGTCACCACTCACTAGTAATAATCAAAAGGAACGTTTATAGTTCAATGGGAACAATGTTATAGCTACAGGTATGAAGTGAAGTAAGTATTAGCATTGATGCAAATATTTTGATTGAGATATAATTGGCAGCAAGAATTCATGTTATGTATCAAAGTGCAGTTATTGAGAGATTATAAATATTCAGATAGCTCGTATTCTTTTTGCAATGTTACTGAAAATCTCTCTCTTGCAAGATGCAGTTCATTTCTACTTAATTTATAGTTGAATTTTACCAAATTTCTATTTTCCACATACATATGTGAGCTGTATGACTAGGGGTGTCAAAACGGACTGGCCGCCCCGTCCCGCCCCGCCCTGTCTTAAGTCCGTCAAAAAAGGAGTGGGGCAGACAAGTCCATCAAATGAAAATGGGCATAAAAATCTAATTCGTTCTGTCAAAATGGTGGGTTGACGGACGACGGACTTACCCGCCTACTTATTTATTTTTTATTTTTTTTTATTTTTAATAGATTAATAGGTTTTTTTTTTTACATTTCAATTAGATTTTTCATTTATTTTTTAGAGTAATTTTTTATAAAATATCTTTTAAATAAATTTTACTTCAAAAAATAAATATTGAATATATTTACGAATAAATTTATAAAATAAAATCATCAAAAATTAAAATTATTAGAATTAACTAAAAAATAGCAGATATAAGGTGAAACAAGCTAAACGAATACGTGTAGCGGACGGCGGATTTTTTGTAGAGGCTTTGGTGGGCGACGATCTCAAAATCTCAATTTAATCTATTATATTTTATTGGATGTAGGGGTCGGTCTGACGGGTCATGATCCATTTTGCCGCTCCATGTATGATTCTATTATTAAATTTCTATATTGATTTTAACTCATCTT